GGTCCATAACATGGAATATGAATTTTAAAAGAGTAGAGGCCAGGCAAGGTCAGAGTCTCACTGATGAGATTTCAGCAAAGGGGGAGAAGCCAATATTAAGATAAATGAGACTAAATAAATAATCCAAGACAGAGCCTTTTCTTTTTTTAATTAAGACACTTTCCCAAGTATATCTCAGACTTCTAAAAACACCTATTTAAATGTTTTATCTCATTTTCTAAATCAAAGTACTTTTATTCCCTGAGACAATTAAGATCATCTTCTGCGTATGTGTGCACCGTTTAAACTGCAAAGAAAAAAACATTTATAGAATTCAAAACTTTTGCAACATACTAACAAAAATAAAACCCTAAACCTATGTATACTGTGTCACAATGTTATTTTTAAAAAGTATGTTTCGATTCACTTTGTGTCCATTTTTATGTGTCTTCCAGCATATACAGAGGAAGACTTTAACTATGAATGTGATTTCAACAACAGAAACAAGAAATCAAAGAAGGGGGATAAAAAGAGTAAGAAAATAAAGATTCTCATGTAGAACACATTATCTTACTAACTCCAGTGGACAATTCTGTCCCCCAAATAACGCTGAGTTAAAATTAACTCAAAAGTAAAATAATCAAGAATTTCATTTACTATAGTGATTGAAAATATAAAGATCGGAATTAGACTTTTTTTGAAGTTGGACCCCATCTCTTATGAATAATATGGCTTTTCGGGCACCCGGATGGCTCAGTGGGTTAAGCCGCTGCCTTCAGCTCAGGTCATGATCTCAGGGTCCTGGGATCAAGTCCTGCATCAGGCTCTCTGCTCAGCAGAGAGCCTGCTTCTCTCTCTCTCTCCCTCTCTCTGCCTGCCTCTCCATCTACTTGTGATCTCTCTCTGTCAAATAAATAAAATCTTTTAAAAAAATAATAATATGGCTTTTCTTTGAAGAGTGCTTCAATTTTCCCTCCTTCAAAATTACTTTAACAATGTTATAGTAAATAAAGGAGATATTACATTTAAAAAGGTTGCCGTGGAGTCAAATAACTACAAATTCAGGAAAAAATGGTGTCATTAACTAACCAGACCAGTGGAATTGTGGACTCTTCTGACCTTTGTTGTTCACAAAATGTACACACAAGGTAACTTACTAGACTGGTATGTTGGCACAAATTATCTATGGAAAAAAATGAGAAATTTCTTTTTTTCATTTATTTCTGTAACATGTCATTGAGAAATGAGCACAGTCACTTTATGTTTTCTGGGTAACCTACTACTGAGGAGAAATCTTTCTCCTATTTTCACCGTTCTAATACCTTACCAAGAATCTCTAAGCTGAGGAAAAAAGCAAGTTGAAAAGCAGTGTAAAAAATCTTCTTTGGACAATTAGTTGCTGCATTTACTCTACAGGACTGGGGCCCCTACCTGTTAATCATGATAAATCGTCATCAGCTTCAGGAAGTACCACTCCTGGAGATTTTAATTTTCTATGTTAAATATGTGTGCTGTATTAAAATTTGCCATCATGGTGTATGCTTTTTAGAGAGGGAAATTCTAATGAAAAATTTAAGAATTTCTTGACAACCCTTCATTGATTGCCTGAACCACAAAGAAATTTTTCTACGGAGAGGAAAATAGATTTACTGCTCTATAGGAATGTGAACTAGAGAAAGTATGGGGAGCCTCATTATTCTGTGTAACTGAAGGGAGGGAACTGGGCTGAGTGGGTCAGGGAGGTAATGGAATCTGTATACCATACTGGTCTGAAATGGTGTCTCATGTGCCATCTAGACCAGGAAGTAAGCTCCTGACCTTAGAGAGGCATCAGTAAGTAGGCTCAAGCCCTGCTGTTAAGTTTCACAGGTGAAGACCACCCATGTCCATCAAGGAACAATGCTGTGGCCCACTGTTTCTTTCAACCCTATCCAATGTGGGCAGAATCAGCATGGAGACAAAGCTCTTCAAAACATCCCTCCCAACTTCCCCAAACCTCCACATTCACACGCAAGCAGATTAAAACCTCAATACAATTGACCTTGTTATTTTTCTTTTCTTCTAGCACAACAAACAATCTACCGACTTGCTCAGAGAATCCATCAAAACTACGGATACTGGACAGGCCTCCTCTCCGGAACATAAGGGGTTAAGGAGGTAGGGCTCAATTCATGCCCTATTTATTTCAGTCATAGTGGTTCTTGTTTTAATTTCTTTTACATATGTTTCCATGCAAATATATATTTTAACAAAATGTTCCACAGATTATTAAAAAAAAAAAAAATCAATGACTTGATTATCTTTTTGATAATGCTACTGATTTTTCAGGAGTAAGGAAAAAATAAATCTCCAAACATGAGGCAACAAAACAGAAGCACAATAAGAACAGCTTTCTACCAAACTAAAAACATTGAAGTTGGCCTCAATTTCTTCAACATAGTAATAGAGAACCAAACCCTCCCTCCACCCCAAAATAAAACCCCGTGCCAGGAAATCCGTAGAGTACGGACAAAAAATTATTTTGACTCAAAACTTCCATATCTAGCCAGTGTGTTCTTCTAATGTGAATTCAACAGGAAGATAATACCTTAAAGTAATAAGATTATTTTGTTGGCATACCCAACAAACGATGGATAAAAAAATCTGAAATGAAGGCCAATAAAATATTTTTTAAATTAGAAACCATCATATAGCTCAGTATTGTCTGAATAGTTGTAACAATTACAAAATGTAATGGCAAATACCAAGATAATGCTTTTAAAAAGTACACAATGATCAAAGTTTAAAAAAAAAAATCTGAACCTAAATCCCAGGTAATTCCTAAATGGACCTAGAATTAACAGTAAAGAAGTCTAATTATGTTTAATTCTCATGTAACAACAGAAACTACCTATATACACCATTTTGTTTCTTTTATCAAGAGAAAAGTCTTACCTTAAAACAACTGATAGGAATAAAACATTATGTACTTTTTAAAAATTAAAAACAGAATGAATACAGTAATTTGATTAAGAGGAAATTTGTTATGAGAAGAATCATACATGCATTTCAAATTCCCTATAAAAAAAAGAAAGATTTTATTTATTTATTTGACAGAGGGAGAGAGATCAGAAGTAGCCAGAGCAGCAGGCGGGGGGGGGGGGGGGGGGGGGGGGGGGGGGGGGGGGGGGGGG